GGGGGGGGAGGAGGGGTCATTGAACTTGTACATCTCAAAAAGGGTATTTTATTTAGAAATGAGAATCATCTGATATTTTCATCATTTCTTAAAAGAAAGGTTCTTTAACATAGAAGATGTCTATACCTTTGCAGCAGCAAACACAGTTTTCACAGCATCAGAGATTTCTGGTCCTATCCCATCGCCAGGGATAAGTGTTACTTTCTGTGTCTAGTGTAAATCAGTAGGGCGACAGCAAAGTTAAAAGACGCGAAATGCACGTCAGGAAGCTTATAGATCACTCATTTCTCAGTTCATTAATTTTCCAGAAAAAATTTGGGTAGAAAAGAACTACGAACTGAACACCAAACCAACCCACAGAAAAATCTCGATTTACATATTTCCTGTCTTCTAATGAACTGATGCTCAATGAAGATTTTCAAATGTGTTTTGTTCTAGGAAGGTGGATGGCGTGTTCCTCCATAACTATATTTTAAATATCAGACTGCCCGGCAACACATTTTTAATACCTAACGCAATAATGAATGGCACCTGATCCACGTGAACTCGTAGTGGAAACAGAGAGCTAACATAAATCGGAGGATGGACAGTATTTTTCCTTAGTTAACAGCTTTAGCGAACTGAGAAAGGTTGGTAGTTTGTTTTACCTCTGAGGAGTAAAAACGCCTTGACACACCGGTAACCTGCAGGCAAAGAGCGAAGGTCAAACAATATTTAGACAATTATTCAAGCACAACCGAACAGTCTTAACAAGATCCTCTTATCAAATAGCCTCTATAAATATAATAATTCTTACTTTTCGTAAGGTACTGACAGTATTACTAACTGAACTGGAGGTTGAAAACCAGAACTTGCTCAACCTAGTGGACGCCATATTTGTTTCTGCTATGAACGCGACGAGGTCTGGTATTGAGATAACGAAGCATTCCGGAGAAATGACGAATAAGTTACGAAAATTAACAAGGATCAGAGAGGAAGCCTGATACTGTCTGTCAGAGATCTCTTGCGGAAATCGTTCATCGCCTAAATTTATCATCTTTCGAATCATTACTGAGACAGGTCTATAGGGAGCGGTGTCTTTCATAACTACAGTGGGTAAAACCCTGGCGACCTCTCTCGACATTGAATGTGTCTTAAGTTCAAGCTGTCTTTCCTAAGCATTGGACTTAACATTTAAAGATAGTCGTAGATCACGGTTTAATTCATCTCGTGCGAGACGCTAAGCAACCACAGCCGGCGCCATTCCATTGACCTGCGATAGTTATCGTTAAACTGTTTGAAGGGGTTCACTCTTCGCACTTCATTTATACAAATTTTGAAAATTTAAAGGCTGATAGTTTCGAAAGAAACTATTAGCCAAAACTATTTACCATTTCAAAAAACTATTTACCATTTCCGAAACTATTTACCATTTCAACTTTGTTGATATATCCAAATTATTTTGAAAATTTAAGTTTGGAAGTGGTACACGGCTAAATGTCGCCATTGAAATGTACTTTGCATTGCTCGCTTATTTACACAGGCCGACAAATTCCGTCTTGTGGCTACCCAGAGAGAAACATCACCTGTTCTCTCCCTGGATAGTAAAGACTACAAAGTTACAACACAAATGAATATCAGCCCATGATAGAGGAAACTTACTGAAGACAGTTTATTGCCGCTTAAATAAGTTTAAAAATGGATATGTTACACAGGAGATCGTTACTATATAGAGCAGACGTTTCAATTGGAACGGGCGACTTTCAGTTCTTATCTTACAAAATCCAGAGACCCGAAACAATATGGTCTTTTGAAGTCCTCATTCATCGCAAATTAAACGAGTCAGTGAAAGACTCCTTATTCTCGCCCGCCAATACGGATTCCAGTAGTAACTGACATAAAACAGCGAAAGATGGCGCAGACATCTAAAATACAACTTAAAACTGGCTAGTATACAATATTGGTATAAACGGTTGGTAAAAGAAAAATTCTTCAAAGCAGCAATCCCTGCAGAAGAAAAATTAACCAAAAAATAGACCATTTTGAGTGATATGAATAGAAGTTGTTACTGACGACTAATGCATGCATCGTATCAAGTTCAGTTCCTTGCTTTGGATATGATCCGTAAAAGTTTAAATATATACAGCAAAATATAGGATATTTTAAGCACGTTCTCCCCTGATTCTGCGAGCAAGTTGAATATCCTTTGGCATAATGGTCACGCGCTTGGCGTGGATGGCACATAAGTTTGTGTCTTCAAATAAACCAACCAAGTACGCTTCTGCGGCTTCTTGAAGAGCACCGATAGCTGCACTTTGGAAACGAAGATCAGTTTTGAAGTCCTGGGCAATTTCACGAACAAGGCGCTGAAATGGAAGCTTTCTGATCAACAATTCGGTCGACTTTTGATAACGACGGATTTCTCGAAGGGCGACAGTTCCCGGCCTATAACGATGAGGCTTTTTCACTCCACCAGTTGATGGGGCGCTTTTACGTGCTGCTTTTGTTGCCAGCTGTTTCCTTGGAGCTTTTCCTCCGGTTGATTTACGGGCTGTTTGCTTCGTACGAGCCATTTCTTTATCTTTTACCACTGTCCTCTCTCACAGAGCTATCTCTCAGTTGAAACACACAAATGTAATACAATCGTTGATGATTGAACGATATAAATGCAGATTTCAGGTGTCTGATTGGTCAGTTTTTACGACTTATGATTGGTCGAAACTTTTCATATTTCTTGTTTCTGATTGGTTCCCTTCGATCCGAACGAAAGTCAAGCTCGTTGGTTTTATTGCATTTCTTGTTGGAGCACCTCGCTAAGTTGTGCTATGTGTAGTTGGAAGTAGTTATTGTAGTATTTGTGTCTTAGTTAATACAAGCGTGTACTAGACACCCGGGGAATTTCTAAAAGACAGTGGAGAGTTTGAAAAGCTGGCCAAATGTTTTATGAGGTACAACGCTAGCTCCAGTCTTCGTAAGATGCGTTTTGACCTTCGAAAGAAATATTCGTTCTAGAGAAACTTGAAACAAAATCGTCACAACACTACTTCGACCACATTTTAAGATCCTTTTAATTTTTCCTACGGTTTAGTCTTGGTCGATGTATGTTGCTGCGTTATTGCTCTGTATTGTAAACCTTATTTTTCTCTATAACTCACCTACTTGTCATCTCGATCTGTCCTTGTAACCCTATTTTTGCAGTGGGTTTACGGTCAATTCGCCACCACAAAACTCGCCATAACTCAAAGTTAAGTCGCCACTGGTGGCGGTTTGACTTAAACGTTGTGTGTTTGTAACTTACATCAATAAACAGGTTCTTTCTGTGAGGGACAATGATGAGCCGGTGCATAATTTCTCATTGTTTTCTTTAAAAAAAAAAAAAAAAAAAACATATCACTGTGTAATTTCTGATTGTACCTTTTGAGAAGAAATGTCAAAAACTTGGGCTTTGTGCTTCATCAAACGACACTTATTCTTCAATGATTGAAACCCTTGATATTAATTCTCAATTTCTGGGCTTTGCAGGACAGTTTTTAATAATCCAGAGAAAGAGCATTAAATCTTAATGATAATGCTTCATTCTGACAATGGTATTAATCAAATTATACTACTACACCTTAGCTTTCATTTGATGTAAGTTCACACGAGAGGCTACACATGAAGTCAAATGGCTATCGGTGTGAATTTCACTTTGAGTGGTGGCAAGTTTTGTGGTTGTGAGCTTGTGGTGGTGGATTGACTAGATACCATGCATTGTGATATTAAGATGTATAACATTTTTATAAGTTTCTGTGCCTGTAGGCCCATCCATACTTAAACTCTCAAATAATCTTGCCTTTAGTGATGGATTAAGATTAGGGCATTTCATGGTGATTATAAATGGTACAACCTGCGTTACTAGCTCAGTAGTGGATGGACAAGTTTGCTTCACTTTCACTATGGCCATTACCTACCCAATGGCAGGAAGGGGTTTTTATGACAACGGTGTAAACCTGCTCAGTAATGGACTTACAGATAGAGGTACTCAGAACGTATCCTAGTGTTTGCATGGAATTTGATGGTTGAAACTTATTAAAAGCTGCTGAATTTTCTTCACTCGGTTTAATTTATTTTTGGAAGGGGCTGATTATTTTAACTGACTATCAACAGGGCCTGGGTATTTCATCAAATATTTGGGAAACTAGTTTTTATAGCCATTTATACATAACTTTTTGTAAATGTTAGATAAAGTAACTGTAACTAAAACTTAGGAAGAGTTTCAATGTACGTTGTTTGACATTTACTTTGTGCTGAGCGATCTGCTTTTTGTTGTAAAAATGATCATTTTTTCACTTCTCCAGGTGAACTAATATTCATCATCAGAGCATTTTGGTTTTACAGTCAAACTCAAGTATTTGAAACTCAAGGGAAGTTTGAAATTTCAGAGATGGCACCCAACACCTTTTTGACCAGAGTATTGTCTTGTAAGCTATGTTTCCTCTTTATATCTAAACTCAAGAAAAATTTGAAAGAAAAATGTTTTTTTGCTAGCTTTGATGCAATACAGTTCCACTCATACAGTGGCCAGATGGTCCCTCCAGATCTATTTTCTATATGAAGCTTGTGGTTGTGAAGACAAGTTAAAGATGTTCATGGGAGAGAATACACCTTTATTACAGGGTGGTGGCATTGAGCTTTGGCAAATGAAAAGAATTTGTTCTTAATTGTCTTACCTTGCCACAAAAACAAGTCTAGAAAGGCAAAAACAAAAAATATTTGGATCAATGACAACAACTTTGCCCCTACCCCTTCCCACAACCAGATATTTACCTTACCTTGTTATCAGGTAATCATTATTAGTTCAGAGCAGGGGTAGGTCAGGGCTTAACACTAACAGTAGCCAACTAGCCACAGACTAGTAGAAATTCAGTTTTGGCTAGTGTTTCTTGATTTCCACAAGTCAGTTTGGCTAGTAAATAAACTGAAATTGATGTAACATCTAAGCCACGAGGCTAGTAAGTAGAAAAGTTAGTATCGAGCCCTGTAGGTGTACAGTTGCTCAGATACTGAGCTTCATTCTTAGTGGGAGAAAATGCGTCTAAATTATGATTTAATGCAGTGCATGCACAACTATATTCTGTCACCATATATTTGTTAGCTTTAGCCTGTGATCTCTGAGAGTGTTACTGACCACTACTTTGGTTCAGAAGCTATCTATCATACCCCCATCAATGAGTAACCCTCGCAAGCGCCGTATCTGACACCAAAGTATTGCATTCTGGTGTTCCGCAAGGCTCAATTTTAGGCCCTGTCCTCTTCCTTCTTTTTGTTAATGACCTCCCTCTATCATGGAAGAATAGAAATGGCTTATTTGCTGATGATGCCACTTTTTACGCTAGTGCCACAACTCTGACTGATGTTCAGGTACAACTTCAACAGGATCTCTCTGATATGGCGACATGGACTAAAGATCATGGTATGATAGCTCACCTGGAAAAGACAAAATACATGATTATTGGTACTCAACAGAAGCTGTCCTGCTGTGAAGAATGTGCACTGTCTTTGTGGCTGGAAGGTCGGCAACTGGAGCAAATTAACTCAAGAAGAAACTCTTTTGGGCCTGGATATCGACCCCTTCCTCTCTTGGTCACCCCATGTAGCTAATCTCAGGAGAAAAATTTTTAAGTGTGTTGCTGTTCTGGCTCGCATTAAATAATTCTTGCCAGTCAAATATCATATAATTCTATTCAATGCTATTATTAAACCTATTCTTGAGTATTGTGTGTCTGTCTGGAGAAGTTGTAATGCAGGACTATTGGATGCTATTTTTAAAGTTCAAAAATGATGTGCACGGATTATTCTTGATGCTCCTTTTCAAGCTAGAACTCTGCCACTATTTCTTGAACTTGGATGGCTACCCGTCAATCATATATGTAGAGAAAGGCGGCTACGTCTGTTTAAAAATATCCTGGATGGACATGCATCAGAGTACCTGACCCAGAAACTGTCATCATTGAAATACAACAAGATGTATGATACAAGGTCCCTGTTACCTGATTGCCTTCCTATTCCACGTACCAATAGCATGAAGTGCATGTTCTTTTATAATGCTGTTAAACTGTGGAATGATGTTACCCACGATAAAAACTGTCTGCTTTTTAAGTGCAAAACATTTCAAAAGACAATACTTTGAATTAATAGTGTACGAATTTACACCTGACAGCTTCAAAATTGACAGAGTTTTTTAGTTAACTTGATATTTAATAATTTAGTATTATGGTATTTAAGTTCTCTTTAATTTTTATTTTTGCACTTTAATAGTTTAGTATTTGAATATTTTAGTATTCAAGTAATTAAGTTTTCTAGTATCTTAGCATTGTAATAGTACATAGTATCTTAATATTTTAGTATTTAAGTGTCTTAGAAAATTAGTATTTTAGTTAGTTGTATATAATTCAATAAGGGCCATAAGGATGAGTACAGTTTCTTTTTACTGTAATTATGTACTCTAAATAAAGTTTAAAGTTTAAATTTTCCAAAAGAGGCTCCAGGACCTGCCGTTTATACAATTATTATTATTATTATTATTATTATTATTATTATTATCATTATCATTAATAATAATAATTATTATTATTATTATTTTGTCATGGAGTACTCCCTCAGGGTGTTCTGCCTCTCACAATTGACTGGTTGGCTCACTCAACTTAGATGCTCCAAGTTACATTCTGTACTTTTACAAGGATCACAACACCCTCACTAATCTCCATTAAGTAAACAACATCGTACCTAATAACAAGGACCTCATATTAATACCAACAGACTTTATAAAATAATGTCATTTATTCTTGAATATATATAATTCCATTCATTTTGTTACAAGTAATCTCTCATACATAAAATGAAAACAGAGACCAGGGATTTCGGCTGATTTCAGGTCTGCATGTCAGTTGCTGTGCATGTACACTAAATTTTTCACAGTGCATTAGTTTACAAACAAACCCATCTGTTCAATTGTGTTTTAAGAGAATTTGCTCCCGTAAATATAGAACACTTTATAAAGATAAATTTCAGAGAAGGAAAAGCCACAAAAAATTTGAAGTCAGAACAGCAGCAAAACCAACCAAAATGTAATATTCTACTCAGATAAAACTGTGATGATTATTACAGTAAACAAGAAATTCACAGTTATTCAAAGCAACAAGTCCCTGGCAACCACCTAGAGTATTTTGCAAATATATTAAAAGTGACATGTTTGATCATACTGGAGATCAGGACAAGCAAGCACATCACAGAATGATCATTCTTCTCCTAAACTCTGGCTTAGCTTCTTCTTTACCTTAAACAGTAACTCACCAAAAATATTTCTGATATTCATAGTTTTCTGAGTTTGACAGTAAGAAAGTAGAAAAGGTAACAAATTAATTACAAGATGTAATGTGACCAAAATAGAGCTAAAATAAGACATTCACAATATCCTCCTCACCCCTACCAAATCAATAACATCTTCAACAAAGTTTGCATAGTTGCTTGACCCTTCAACTACCAGAAACGATCAAAATGTAACTTCTCACCACAGTATTCAGACATTATCCAGCAAACAGGTGATGAGAATACTAAACTTATCTGGTAGTAAAGCCTGATAGTTTCTAAAGAAACTGTTTGGGGCTGCATCGGTGGGGGTAACAAAATAATTTGAATATATCAACAAGTTGAAATGGTAAATTGGCCACCGTTACGATTATAAAAGCTGACGTTTCAAGCGTTAGCCCTTCGCCAGAGCGTTAGCTCTTCGTCATTTGCTCTGATGAAGGGCTAATGTTCGAAACTTCAGCTTTTATAATCGTAACGGTGGTCAATTTACCATTTCAACTTTGTTGATATATTCAAATTATTATCTGGTAGTAGTTATTCTGGACCAACACCAGATTCTCCTAACTAATTTAATAAAAAATGTGGAGTAGCTAAAGTGGAGAATTCACAATCAGAACTTTGGAGTTACCGGCATCAACAATTTCTTCCTGTGCGAGATATCCATCTCAAGCCAAGTTACTACTGTCACAAAAACCATAAGATGATATGTTTACAAGTGACTGTTTTCATATAAAAAAAAAAATGTGTCAAGATACTCAAAGTAAGATGTGTCTTGTGGAAAATAATCAATTCAAAATTTATATATTACTTTTGGTCATCCTTGTCATTTGGTCATCCTTGTCATTTCAGAGACACTGAACTATAGCTAGTCACACATCTGCATTGTGACCTTGTGACACAGTCAAAACTCAATAACTTAAATGGGGAACAAAAGGTACCATTTGAGAAACACAAGAGTCTAAGATCACTGATGATAAGATAATTTAAAAAGTTCATCAGTTTTATGTTTATTGCGTGAGTTTGTGGTAAATTTAAGGGCACTGCATTTGATTTCTAACTGAATGATTTTGGATACCTCTATCTAGAATTTGTGCAATTTTAGTTATTAACTGAAATAAGCATTCACCATCTTAAATTAGAGGGGAGACAATTATTATTTACTCATTTTGTTGTCAATGGTTTCCTCTCATTATTTTGAGAATCTTTGTCCCTTTCAAAATCCTTTACTAAAATCTCTGTGAGCAAACTCTTAGGCAAAGTAAAAAGTCAAAAATAAATGATTCTGTTCTGTAATAAAAGAAAAAGTTGTTTCTCCACCTAACACTGTAGTCTCACCAAGAGCTGGCGGTGTCTGGGTTTCCTCAACACAACATGTACACTATCCTGGGAAAAAAGCTCTCCACATACACCCAGATCCTCACTGAGTAAGGCATATTCATTGCTTTGCACTTGAGGTCACCTGGGGTGCCACTGAAAGCAGAACTCACAACCTCCACTAGTCCCACACCTTAGAAAACCATTGTACTACTTGTCTTGTGCATTGAGATAGAAGAAGCATGCAGTGGATTTGTAGCTATAATTTTGACGGGCAGATCCCATGACATAGTTTCTGCCTGAATGTCAGAGGGGCCCTGCCATGATGCAGTGTCTGTATAAGGAGTTGTTGGTTGAACAGGACTACCTCCCCCAGGTAATGGTGACAGAGCTAATGTAAACTCAAAATGAAGTCTCCATTTCAAACAAACTGTGGAAAAATGGGAACAATGACTGATTAACATTAGAAACTGGGATTACTTTGCACTTATAACCATGTTTCAGACAAAACTAGAGGATATGACCCATTAGGTGACAAATGAGTACAATAAGTCTCTGGGACAGGCATTGTTTTTTTGCTTCCATAACTAGCTGCCAGAATGCACTTTCTTGATTCCATAAGATACAAATTCAAACATTTTACTCTGTGGAATTTTTTAGGGGACAATTTCCATAAAAAGACAAAAATCTCATCAAAAAATTGTTTCGATACATGAAACGTACTGTAAGCTACTATGACCCATCCCCAGGTCATGACATGACAAACTGTTTCTTATGATGAGTGCCCTATCCACACACATCCATTTTCTTTTGTCTAAGTTTCTCACTGGTTTAGTATTTTGCTGATCTAAACAAGGCCGAGATTAGTGAGCTTCAACCATCTGAGAATAAGAAACCTTGCAGAAAGATACTGAAACATCTGTCTTACCTAATTCTGAGACAAATTCTGGACAAGCAGTGTAAGGTATGGGTAAAACTAGATGTGTCTTTTTGGTGTGCAAACAATTTTCTTGAACAGAAGTGAAAGAAGAGTATGTTACATCTGGAGATTGCTTTGAAGGATTGCGTGAATTCTCAGGAATGTGTTCTTCACTTTGCAGGACAACTGAAAACTAGAACAAAAAAAACAACACAGTCAAGGTTACATTTCTAATAAACATTGAAAGAAAAAATTTCCAAAAAAAAATCACAGGTACATCAATTTGTAAGGTTTTGTTTCGTACTCCTTAATAAACCACAAGCAGACCTACAAATTCAACAAAATTAAATGCACCTGACTTGGAACAAAAATAACAGTTGAAAATTTCATTAGGTTGCATGTTTACTGATGATAAAATTTGGCTGCTAAGCAATTTCCAGTTGAGTGTCGAAAGTAATCTAAACTGACAAGGCTTTTGAAAACATTAATAAAAGTGCTCCACTGTTGAGAGCATCCAATCAGCTTTTAATTGGTTACCTTGAGGCAAATAACTAGAGAGTCCGAGAAGTCAAAGGATCCTACAATTTCTTCACCAATGCGATAAGCAGATTTAAAGAGACAAAACTTTCCTATAGATCCTCTGCTACTGACAATGTTATACACATCTGTTGAAAACAAAAGCAAAATTTAAGTACCAGTATTTAGTTCTTCTTAGTCTTTTAAAAGTAACATCCTGGAGTCCCTACCAATTTAACCTTACTGGATTCCACAAGAAATTGGATTGGAGAAAGTTACCGATAGATGACATTGTAATAACCATTACGTTATTTATTCAATCAAACACAGAACCTCGAAAAGGCACCCACAATGTAGGTAAGAAAAGTTTAGGGCTGTGGTCTAGCAGTGCCCGATGGTCCCTGGCACCTTACTTTTGCTCTTGGGCATCTTAAGAATCTTAGTTTTTTCATAAGAAACATATGCTGGGCACCCTGGATTTCACAGTTTCAGAGCAATGGGCTCCCTTCAATTTTTCTTAGAGCACAGCCATGAAGTTGATAAGCACCCAGCCTCAAATAAGTGCCCACCCCTACCCCCTCAACCCCCAAAAACTGAAGTGCACAAGGAGAGTGTAAAGCATTTTTTTTACTACCTTACAATCTTGAAATTCTTCATGTTTGATTCAAAAGTGATGATGTAAGGAAAATAAGATACCAATCACTCTTGAAGGTTTGAGTCTTTCAGAGTATTAAACTGCAGGAAATAATCATGCAATCAAGCTGTATTTCAGTCCTACATTCATATTTCATCCACAAACAGTAGCTCTGTACTTACGGGAATTTCTTTTAGAGGTGACTGTAGTTAAAATGTCCACTGCTAAATCTAATAGAGAGGTTTCTGGGGTAGAATCGTCTAAAAATGGATTTTGAGAATTTTCTTGCTTGCATAAAAATTGTTCAATCCTACCAAGTCCTGTGAAACAAAAGAAATTAGAGATGGATGTTTTAAACAATACGGATAAAGAAATGCAGGATCCCCATGAGAAGATGAACCAAATCTTTAAAAAAAAAAAATTAAAGCTAATTGGGTTCTTGACCTCTGAGCTACTGAGAACTGGTCAGTTAAGTAGATATGCATCAATGACAGGCATACTGGTTGCTCAATAAGCACCTTGTGCTAATATTGTAAATTTGAGATCTATTGTGGACCGAAATAGGCCTTCAAATTTATATGTGCAAGCATGTCAGAAGCAAGTTAAGTTTCCATTATTTATTGGAAAAATGTGACTGGAAAGAAATGCAACAATAAACTTTTTCGCAAAAAAGTTTCTTTTTAATGAAAATTTTTCCGCACATTATTAAAATCAGTTTTCCATTATAGAGGATTTTTCTTCATCCATGGTTCACTCACCTTGTGACGACAATATTCTAACAGGTAATCTTAAAAGTTTGGAATGTCCTTGAACTCTACTGGTGCCCACAGTGATCTTGTAAGAATATTTCACTGCATGTCCTTTGTATGAGGGCACTCCATCAAATGAAATTGTGTCACTATAAAAATCTGAAACAGTCAAGATATCTTCCACTCAACGATTTCTTATTAAGGTTTAGTGATCAAAATTAAGAAAAAGAAAGGTCACTACTCCTTTAACCATTTAGCTTCCAGAAGTGGTCAACATGTAACTTCTCCCAATAATATCCATACATTATCCAGCAAAAAGGTAATGAAAATACTCAAACTTATCAGGCAGAAGTTGTTACCTTGATCAAACACCAAATTCTCATTACCAATTTATGAACTATAAATTCAACACATAAAGTGCAAGATTTGTTATGCAACACGGTTAATCATGTCATGTCTTGGGCCAGTAAGGAAACTTTCTGGTCATTAACTATTGACTAACTTGGATTTTTATAGAAGCCAAGAAAGCTGCCATCCTATAATGCTGCAACAACAAGTTGAAAGTCTGACAACAAGTTGGAAGTCTGACAACAAGTTGAAAGTCTGACAACAAGTAAATTTTGTAATGTTTGACTTAAATCAAATTCCTTTTACACAGGAATCGTTAAAATGACTGATAAGCTGATATGCTACAACAATAAAACATAAAAGATATGCCAGTAACAGTATTAGCTAAATTAGTTGATTGGTATCATAAACCCTAGGGCATAATGTAATGTGATTACAGCATTAGAGTACCAGCATATTCCGAGATCTTGTTTCATGCAAAGATGATTGAAAGTTGGAGGAAAATACTCAGCTTAACACTTTGAATGTTTAAGATGCACAACGCGCAACAAATTCCTTAAATTTAACAGTAAAATTCCCCTCCAAGCTGCGAGTCAATCTGCAGACAATCTGCACTATAAAAGTGCAATCTCAGTAGACAACTCTAAACTAGTTTACATTTCGATTGATCAAAAACTTCGAACGCAGCAGAAGAACTGATTTACTTAAGGAAAAAAGGTAGACGTGTTAAATATTACTACTTTCGATAAGAAAACATTTCACGGATGAACGATACCGTAAACAAGGCACTTTTCTGAATGAATTTAGATACGCCTTGTTATCATTTTACGAGACAAAGAGGCCCACCAGAACGTTTAAGAGACGAAGCAATACCAAGAAATTCGAACGACTCGTGAGTTACGGATCGCTCTGGAGTTTGGGAAATTGATATTATCAACACGTTTGCAATACAACTAGTGGACTTGTCAAATAAGTATTCACGCAATTAAACTCAAAACTGCATCACTTCACAGGCACCGTAAACTTACAAGTTCTAGATTCTCCAGGAGCAAGCTCCAGATCACAAAACAATATCTTCGGTTGTGTAGACAATAAACAGCGACCTTGCTCTCCTGCAACAGACATACACGTATCAGATACAAAACACGACATCACGATCAATAATTCACCATTTCTCAAACGATAATAGTATACCAGCAAACTCCAACCATAAATCATACATGTAGTAGAGAAGCGTTTGTACTCTAACCTCTTGAGGGAACGAAGCTTGTACAGGAAGCATTAGCATCCGGCGAAATTTGGTTTAGCGTTCGATCCATTCTCGAATTCGTAGTTGGAAGAAGAACCCGAGATTCGTTTACCGTACACTGGCAATGTATTTGAGCGCTCGCCCAAGCAATTCTGTCGGTTTCATTGCTCCCAATGGAACACTCGTTATTAACCTGATTACATGGATGATTGCAGGTCCCTTTCTTGCCATCTGCGACGTTTGTAAAAATAATTTCACACTCGATACATTCGCCAGCGAAGAAGACAGAACCACGGAGTAGGCGCACTTTCACCTCGATCATGGCTAATAAAATCAAGAAATCATTCTCTTATTCTCCGTATGATCTTCTTCCATTTCCAAACTAAAAACAAAGCACTCAGTAAAGTCTAAGAATATTTACGCCGACGAATATTTGGAAGATCGTTTCCGAGTGGAAACTCTCTATCGGCTGCAACCGCCATAATAAGAGTTTTTCAACGGAAGGCAGCTGGCCAACTGTGATTGCAGGCGTCACTAATTCGCGGCAAACGGCCCGCCACTTTCCGGAACCAATAATTTTTTGTCTCAACTTTACGTTTCCTTCTGACTTCATTTTCAGTGCGAACCGCTCAAAGGAGAGGAACATTTGAGGAGAAATTGAGCGCTCTACTCACCCTCCATCCCTATCCTTTCATTCCTAATAATAATAATAGTGATAATGATAATAATCCTCCACTTTATTTAAATCACCAAAAATATCTACAAAAGTTTGACAAAAACCCTAAAAATCGAAAAACACATTAAAATGTCCACCAGAAGCTAAGAAAAACACACCTCGTCTACGTTTACTTCTCGAGCTTTTCGATAATAATAAAGATGATAATAATAATGATAATAAAAATGATTATAGTTTTTTTTTGGAATTTCCCTTTTTTTTGGCATTTTACAAAACATTACTCTACTTACAATACACTACAGGACTCAGTTACAGTACGTTGCTTACAATAGTTGCTTAAAAATGATTATAGTGATAACAATGATAACAGTAATTTTAAGTCTCTTGACAAAGGAAATGCAAAGTCTTCAAACGTTCAACGTAAAAGAATAAGAAAAATTTACTATAAAAAAAATAAGAATGATCTATAACTGATGAGTTTAAGGAAGTCTTGCTCGACCCTTCTCTACTTCTCTATTAATCCTAATAATAATAAGTAGACACAACGGAAAAGCTTTTTAGGATTAGTTAATGTACATTTATTTTTTACTCCATGGCTCACAGGTTACGGTTTTCGCCCTGTGTTGCTTGATTAAAATGTAGCATTCAGTTAAATTCTCTGCGATAATAATAGCAACAATTTAAAACATTACAATAACTTCGCGTGGGTAATGGTTTTTCCTCTCGTACATTTCCAAATTAATTGACGCGGAACACATCTGTTAAATTCGGTTCTCTAGGATCAGACTCGTATCAGNATACTATGAAATCCAGAAATACATGTACTTATGTAATGTCCTTGTAATTCAAGGTAGCTAAACAGCAGCAGTAGGGAGTTTGCTCAATCCTGAATTTTGTGTTGAACTATACACAACTGTCCTGTGAGAATCAAATCAAAGTTTTTGTGACTTTTTTAGTTTCACAGTCATAAGTAATTAATTGAGCAGTGTGGTCCTATAGTTTGCATGGTTGCATGGCCTGCTGCAAATCTGTAGTTCACCACCTTCTCTAACCTCAGATTGGCCAGGTGGTCTGCCTTCTACAAATTATTCGTATTTGATTGTGCTTCCCAAAATCTAGATCAGAGGAAATAAATCTTAACTAAGGTTAAATTAATTTTAGTATAAGGTAATCATGTTTCTAAACATTTGGTGAGGCACGACAATTCTAATATTACTACTGAGTGATTCATTTGTTTATTTATTTGAACACTTGTTTATCCACTGCATTGTGGGGTTACCAGTAATGGATGGATGTAGGAAGAAAAACTCCAAAAGGAATACTGTCAAGGTCACCATTATAAACAAATCACAGTCTTCTTTTGCTTCTCATTTCACAACAGAGTCCTTAGAATCCAGGCCGACAAGTACAAACATAACTGTTCACTCAGTCAACACAAGTAGCACTGTTTACACAGGGATTGTTGGAGCACTCATTAATGCTTTTGTTTATCTTGCTCTTCTGACCAAGCATTCTGTCAAGCATTAAGTGTAAAGCAACTGGCATACTATTTTTTTAAGCTCATTGGCTACTTTTTTCGATATCTTCTGTTGATATGGTTATCAATTACAGACTGCATCAAGATGATGAATTGAGAAAACAAAAAAAAAGTCTCATCATGCATGTTGCACATTTGTTTTTACAGGAAAGCCTTTAGGTAAGTTGGTATACATCTGCTTGATCTATGCACTAAGCAAAACTTTATCATAATTTAATGCTGCCCTGGCCTGTCATGATTTCCTTTACATCCTTGTACTTTGGGTAGGTCACCCAAAGATGTGGCTGGCCTTGATTTTCCATCTTTGTTTCCCTTCAATATAATAATAATGATGATAATAATAATAATAATAATAATAATAATAATAATAATCTTTAGGCAGGGTACGTTCTCGCATAAGTGGTTTTCACGTTCAATATTGCCCGGACTTTCAAGGTGGCAGTTTGAGTTCCTGTTAGAAGGAGGACCGTATACACAACGTAAAAGCTTTTCAGGATTAGTTAATGTACATTTATTTTTTACTCCATGGCTCACAGGTTACGGTTTTCGCCCTGTGTTGCTTGATTAAAATGTAGCATTCAGTTAAATTCTCTGCGATAATAATAGCAACAATTTAAAACATTACAATAACTTCGCGTGGGTAATGGTTTTTCCTCTCGTACATTTCCAAATTAATTGACGCGGAACACATCTGTGAAATTCGGTTCTCTGGGATCAGACTCGTAACAGACCCAAACTAATTTTGATAACAAAAACGACCTACATATAAAAATCGCGAAAGTAACTACTAGTTCGTATTGAAAGAATTTCAAAAAACGTACATCGAAATTATCCTTATAAAAGTAAATTGCATTTAAAAAATATATGAGAAGGGAAATGACACTCTTACTCTAAAAAACTGTAAAAGATAACTTAAAATAATAATAACAATGATAATAATAATAATAATAGTAATAATAATAAGACTAAAAATAATGATAACAATGGTAAAAGGAGTGATATTTAAGAGTGGCTAGTTCAAGAACCTCACTGTTCCTCTATCGGTCTATCCTCTAGGATCTAATAATGATAAAACTGGCCTCTCTTGATAATTTTAATTTTTCCTGTTCATTATGAATTATTTTCTTATTTCATTGCAATTTCTTCTTTTTTTTGTGAGACCTGTGTTTTATACAACAAGGCACTATGTTCCAATATTCCATCGAGTAGGGTCACCCAATAAACTTAAAGTTTTGCTCGCTTTACAAACTCAGCGGCTCATTTGAGCATTTGTCGCTGATTGAAATGGTAGAATGCTTTCTTTTCAAAAAATTAAAATTCTCTTCAAAGTTTCCACCATATGCATTGAAACCTATTTAGATATTTCTACAAGGAAAAGTCTGTCTCCATTTATATTACGTACGAGGCGCCACTGTGAAATTATGTTGAGATTTTTATCATCTTTTGTGGTGTCTCGGCAAGAACGAAAAATATTATCAGGCCCAGTAGCTTTCATGATGCGCCGATCACACCTTTTAGGACATTTCTACAACGTAAAGCGTTGTTTTTTTTCGCGCGCCATCCTGACATCATGAGACATGATTGTGAGATCTTTATCTTCTTCTGTAACAATAAGTGGGACCGGGAAGTCAGGCGCGTAGCGTCCTCTACGCATCTACGCACGCGCGTACTTGAAGTGACCAGAAACATTTGAAAACAATGTTGTGTTTGCGCCAAGTTTGCTCAAAATAAGGGCAAGACGCTTTATTCTTTGCTTGTATTCACACAACTATTTCAAACAAGAAATAAAGTACGCAGTATTTTTCGCTCAGCTTACTTAGGTTCCTAGATCATATGTACTTGTGCGTACTTGAAAAAATGACCACGCTACGCGCCGGGAAGTCCAGCTGGGGAAACATTGTGAATACGTGCTGATTCCGAAAAACATTCGAAGTCGATCCGAAGAAATCGTCACCAAGCATTGAACGACCGAAGATGTTCCGAAACAAACAAAAGCCAAGAGCGAGGGATATAGGGTAAAACGCTGCGGACTTTGTTGTGGGCTAGGAGGTCGTCGTATTCTATTGTTACACTCACTCACACTTACTCACCCATCATCGAGAACGACATTATGGCTTTGCCTCGATAAAAGCAGTAGCCATAAAAAGGAACCTTACCAGACGGTAAATGAAGAAAAGAGGGATAGCTATTACATATATTTAAAAATTAACAAGAGTGGCCATAACTTTTCTCGCTCAAAGTTATGCAAGATAGGAAAGGATACAACTTCTTTCCAAACAAAAAAGTGAAACTTCACGCACATTACAACTTTAAGAATTTGTCACTGAAAACATTAAAGCGTCTCTCTAACATTCTTGAGCCGNTTCATAGTCTTATTTATTTAGTTATCTATTTTCTCAAACAGTTGTCCGGCTTGACTCAAGGACTTCGTATCTTTCGCATGAACATCTGTCAAAATCAAACTCTCATTTGGAGCAACTAAATTAAGCAAAGCTTGAACATAGATGTTCCATAAACTATTTCTCTCTTCCATCTCCGATATAACTCTTAACGCTGCTGCAAAGGGATCAGAATCCTGATAAACTGCTGGCATACCTTTCATCGTTAAGGATTTTTGGACGACTTTTTCCATTGAAGAATCTTCGACAAAAGTGTCCCGTAAGCCACATAAAATTAGTGCGGTAAAAGTTTTTTTGCGATAAATTATATCAACAAAGTCCTCTTTCAGTTTGGTCAAACATTCCTCGAAATTATAAACATTCATGTTGTCGACGGAAGATAAACCATCAAGGAGAATTGTGATGATACTGGCAGCATTTGAAAAATCTATCTCTCGCGTAACTGAGGAAGGGAAAATGTTATAATCTGCATAGAAAAAGCTTGGCATTTTTCTCTCTTTCAATTGATTGAGGAGACTACGAAGAATGTCGAGGAAACGTTCGCTTAGTTTGTTTCCTGACCACTGCTCTTTCTCAGGGTTCAGCTGCCATTCAAACAACACCAGCGTTTTGAGGACATAAGAGGAGAACAATCTGCCGGTTTCTTTTAAAGGATAAGCCGCTAATTCGACGGAAAAATACAAAAAACCACTATCGTTCGACGTTTCTTTGAATTCAGAAATATCAGGAAATACGATGTCACGCAATATTTTCAGTAACCTGAGGCACTTGGCTTGACCGCTGTTGGAGCCAAATGTCTGGGAAAATAATTCCTGCTCGAGGCACGACTGCGAACAACGTAAACAGAAATTCTCTGGTCGCAGAGTGGTATCACAATCAGCAAAGAAATTTGGCTGAACTTCCGTGAGCATATTCCTGTACGAACCAACGGCATAGTAAAATGGTAGCTTCTCAAATATGGATTGCAGCACTCTTCCTGTAGTGGTCTCAAACTTAATATCAACGTTATCAGGTCGATTGTTTATCCTCACGGCTAAAGCCAAGTCAACGCTGATTCTTAAACCCTTGTACCGTTCTCCCCCGTTCCACTCGAGTAACAGAGTATATGCTGGTCCATGCTTTGATAATGGCTGTGGCGCTGACACGATTTCATCAGCTTCATGAGCCAGTGCTACTTTCATTCCGAATGCCTCAAAATCTTTCGCTTTCTTATTGAAGAGCTTATAGAATGGTGTCTTGATAGTCTCCTTCCACTCAAAATTCCTAGAATATCCGTGGTCATGATCAGGGAAATAGAAGAAGAGGTCTTCCCAAATTGATTCATCTGCAGGGAACACCATCACTGTAGAACAAGGAAGTTCGTGAAAGCGATACCTCTCAGGGACAAAGAAACTGTCGAGTTGAAGGAGGAAGTCAAACTCATCTGGCTGTCTAATCTTGGTTCCCTCATAAAAGCTTCCGCTATTGATCAGCGTTGTCCTAAAGAAGGGATTTTCTCTTCTCACTTCCAGCAGGATGCTCCTTATAACTCTCCTTACGCGGCTTTGAATAAGACTGACTTCTTGGCAGCACGGTATTTTCCCTTTTCTTTCATCTAACTCTCGCAAAAAGAGATTCAAATTACCATTAGCCATCACATTAACCTCACTCATTAGGTTTAGCAACGACCGACGAGCTCATCTAAAATGACGCAGTACTCTTCTTCCAGATGTAGTACTTAGTCCCCACTCCGGCGGCAAAATTTCAATTCCTAGCGATTCCGTCACCCTTGTTAAGAGCAGGGTAAGCCCCCATATTCAACATATTCCGGGTCCATAACATTCGTTTTCACCCAATAAGGCCGGCTTGTTCGAAAGGGGGGTATCACTAATCTAAGACTGGAATACAAACTTTGCTTTGATCTCTCTTCAGTAATATGCTCTGTTCGCGCGTTGTAGAGTCTTCGCGTAAGTCAAACCTGAAGGTAGTAGTGGTGTCGGCTCGTAAAGGACGAATTTTTTTTATTTAATCAAATTTCAGATTTTTACAATCACAAAGACAATTAAATTAATCAATCGTTCAGTCTGAAGTAGGCTAAAAACAGAATACAAGACTCCTTTGAAATTAAGCCACCTATTATTACATCATGCATATATGTAGAGAAATAGTTAAGTAATAAATTTAAAAAAATATATATATACATATATCATTAAAAAAGATACAATTTAAAATTGGAAAAAACCTACATTAAACTTTCTATAATAAAAGGCCATCAAATTCTTACGAAAGATTGACTTATACTAAGAGGTAACTCATCCACAGTCGACAAATCGAAACAATGAAAGAATTCTTAAAGACGTCAGTCCTGCTGAAAGGGACATCAAGCATTAAATGATCATGATCAACATTCCTGAGCAGTTTGGTACAAAAGCGAAACGATACATAATCGAAAATGTTTAACTTATATATATATTCTTAAGACAGTTAAAAAGACTAAATCATTAATTTCTCTTCGATGCTTCAAAGGTAATAAATTTAACTTTCTAAGCCCCTCGTATTCGCCCGAGTACGAATCTTGTAGCCCTGCGTTGAACTTGTTCCAAATTGTTGATGTTTCGTTTGGTATAAGGTGACCATACCACACAAGCATATTAAAGGCGCGAGCGAACCGAAGTAATATAAAGCAATATTCTTTTTTTTTTTTTTTTTATTCATGAGTTGGGATGAGTATAAATCATCACAAGCCATGTGATAAAGTGTCACGCCAGAGTATTTTGTAGATCACGCAGTGTGTTTGATGGAAATAAAAACAAAAACAAAACAAAAAAACAGGATTTTCAATCAAACAATTTTAATATTAAAAAGTCCTTAAATGACAAGCAGAATGTGTACTCTTCCCTGGTAGACAGTGCTCAGCACATCATAAATAAAAAATTGAGCATTCATGAAGTTCTCCCGAATCAGTCAACATGGCCACCATTTCTATGTCTTCGGGTGTCAAACGTTCGTTGTTCGTATCCAAAGGGGATATCCTCCATCCCAATATTTGCTTAATTGTGACTGTGGTCACGTGAATGCTTTAACCAACGAGAAAGCAGGATTTTACCCATGTGACCAAATATGGCCGACTTGAAATTTGATTACGTCACAAAATATTCACAAAAAAAATAAACAATGGTTGGTACTGCATTCAGAGAATTTCGATGCTAAATAATATCAATCATATCTGTTGGTATATATACGAGTTCTGATTAACGCTGATCCACGGTTTCAAGTAACCCTTACTTTTCAGCTCTCTTGTCTTGAGAACGTTAAAAGCAAACTGCAAGTACGTGGTAAAGAAATGCTCAAATAAAAACAGCTGAATGAGGCCGGAGTGGACAGATTGTTTGTAAACTTCACACGAATAAGTGTAAGCTAACACAATTTGTTCAAAAGAGATGTACTTACCATTATCGTCGATTTTTAGTTTTGATCCACTGTTAGTTCGTGAAAGCGTGTTTGACTATAAAAGCGTCCTTAGTTTCAAAACATAGTAATGATAAGGTGGAGAATATCCTATCCTCTGACTTTTAATTGGTCCACAACCAAGGTGGCATGTCACTCTAGGGGATACAAGCTACAACCTGAGGGACTCCGAAAACAAACTTAATGTTCGATTACCACGCACAAATTATTTCAAAAATAGCTTTAGTGGCGCCACAGCGTGGATCCCTTGGGTCGTTTAAACAACGATGATACTCCCAATCCTGAATTACTGCAGTGGTGTCTCCATAGATGTGGCAAAGGAAACGAAGAAGGTTTAGAATGTCTACAAAGGCGAGCTGGAAGAATAGTATTGAATAATGCCTATTTATCCACCGAACAGGCCCCGGTTGTTCGAAGGATGGATAACGCTATGCACTGGATAAATCTCTATTCGGTGGATAGCACAGTACGTTTTGGTAACACTTATCCGCTGGATAGCGATTTATCCGTTGGATAGCGTTATCCGCCCTTTGAGCAACTGGGGCCAGATGTTTACAAGCCTTGGTTGGGAAACTCGTGCCAAAAGAAGAGAAATCCACATCATTAATCTGGTAGAAAAGTGCCTTAAGGGACTGGCTCCAAGTCATTTTACTAAATATTTCAATCTAAAGGACATGATATTCATGACTATAATATAAGCAATAAGGACAGATTAGTTATTGACAGGGTTAAATTAGAATCAACCAAAAGAGCATTTTTTTTATAAAGGGGCCGATATATTTAATGATTACCTATGAATCTAGTTCTAGTCTTCCCATCTCTTTTTATATATCAAACGGCCATCAGCATAGCTCTTTAAGGCACCGCATTCAGGGAAAGAATAGTATTGTTCATAGTCTTATTTATTTAGTTATGGTTTGATCTTTCTGTAAATAGCGGATAAATTGCCCGTGGATGGATTAAATTGATACAACGAAGATCGTTTGTTCACGATAAAATAAAATGGGCTGTTGTTTTTCAGTGACTTTAACGAGGGTAGAAGAAGACAAACCGACTCAACAGATGAAGCGGTGAAAAGATTCAGGCCCTGTTATGGCATTCAAAGTGTCGCATGTCGCATATGTCAAATATGTCAAACTGTCGCATGTCGCTAGGCCCGGCTTTTAAATTTGAAAAATCAGTAAACGGACGGGCTTGGGTGACAAGATTAACGAACCACTGGCTCTCGCGAATGAAGAAGGCTGGCTTTTGCTTGTGACGGATTTCCTTTGAGGGGTCATGACAGGACGGAAAATGCTGCACTGTAAGTACCTCCTGTTGGCCTATTCAAAGCCCTAGAAAACTTTTCTAAGGCTTTGTATGGGACAACGGTAGGTACCACAGTGCATGCATTTTCCCTCCTGTCATGCATGTTTAAGTAATGAACTGAACTGAATATTTAAATAAAGATCACTCGTGGGTAACGAACCAATTTGTATTAATATTCAATATTGCAAGCGAGTGTACGAGTTTCCCGCCGAAAACGAAAAAAAATTAACAGGCATTATCTTAAGAGTATAACACTAGGTACCAAGCCCCCTATTTTAGGTTCCAGACCATTTTCGGCTTGGGTGACGCGCTGTCTCTAGTCGCACAAGCACACACCAATAACACTTACAGGCCGCCATGTTGCTTGACAAAACAGAGGAAAAGGGCAGCAAGGCACGTTGGGTATATATTCTTGACTCGAAGAAAAAATTCTCGAGTCGAAGAAAAAAGTTCTCGACTCGAAGAGAAAATTCTCGACTCGAAGAATAAATTCTCGACGCGATAAGAAAATTCTCGACTCGGTGAAAAAATTCTCGACTCGAGGAAAAAATTCTCGACTCGGAGAAAAGTTTCTCGACCACTTTTGTCCATTATGGCTTTCCATAATCATGCGAGTGCGCGAGAGCGCTCGATCGATAGAGTTTGCAGGAAACTAAACCTGGAACTTGGAACTTATACTCCCAAATAGCTGGGCTAACGCTGGGAGATATAGAATAACTAATTAATAGTGCTAATAATCTACAATAAATATGTAAAGTCTAAAAGAAACAATAAATGTAAATAGTTCAAAATCTTTTCACGTGGTTCGGGGTCTTCATGTTCTTAATGTCCCTTATGGCTAATGATTTAAAAGAAGGAAGTTCTCAGGATGAATCTCGACGAGCTAAGCCAATCTAAAAGCGAAAGGCATGAAGATGAATCAATCCTGCGAGATGGCCCTCGTATCCTTAATAAAGATACGGCGAAATCTTCACTCACGCCACTGGATCTGTTCTTACAAGACTTGGACAGAAACATTGCAAATACACCTCTCTGCCAAGAATTGATCGACATCCGAACGGGAGTTGAAAACCTTCTAAAAGATCTTCTTCTGGAGGTAGAACAAGAAAATCCTTTCCTTAAGACAACGCTGATCAATAGTGGCAGTTTTTATGAAGACACGAAAGTCGACAAACCTGATGAGTTTGATTATCTTGTCCAACTCGATTATTTCTCTGAGCCAACAGATATTCAGTATGAAGAATTACCTGGTGCTTCCGTGATTGTGATTCCTAGCCAGTCGAGTTTCAAAAAATTACGAAATCTATCAACTTATGAGAAAGTTCCAGAGATTTCTGATTTCCAATGGAAAACGCACGTCAAAGCACCGTTTTCAGAAATACTGTCCGCAAAGCGGAATGGTTATGAGGGATACTCAAGATTAACTTTCCTTCTTCAACCATAAAATTACAGCATTGCGAGGGGATTGCTGCCTATGTGATGCATAAGACTTTTTCTGACTCTGTGCGTTATTTCTTTGCTGTTAGTGACTACAGGGTCTATAACCGCCTAACCTCAAATTTGTTGATAGATCAACTAGGTGATTCGCATCACTTGGAGTATCATTTTCGTCTTCGTTGTTCTCAATCGTGCCTTGAACAGGCGCTGTTCCAACATTTTGGCACTAGAGGAGGACCAACTGTGTATTTAAGGTTACTGAAGGTATTGCGTGACAATTCAACCATACTGGAACGTCACACCAGCTGGTCAGATTTAGATTTTGGTATTGATCTTGAAACGGATTGCAACAGATGGTTTTCTTCATATGCACTTAAAACTTTAGTTTTATTTGAATGGAGTAAGTACCCTGAAGAGAAATATTGGTCAAGAAGCTGTATGAGTGACCGTGTCTTCCAAATACTTCATCACCTTCTCCACTGTGTAAAGCAGGGGAGTATGCCAAGCTTCTTTTATGCAGATTATAATGTTTTGCCTAGGGGTGAGAAAGGGAAGATATTGAAGGAGCAGGCTTATGCCATCAACTGAATAACCCTCCTGCATCACTAGATGACATCAAAAAGAAATGACACTGGTTACAATTTCAATGGCTGTCTTGAGAGTGTTACAGACGAGTCAAGACTTGCCTCTCATAAAATAAGGTTTACAAATTTGTTAAATGAGACACTTAACGAAAACGTTAAGCAAGCCCTGGAAAAAGTGGTGATAAAAGCAACTGGAAAAGAACCCCCAGATAAATACAAAACAAGGGGAACAAATGAATCATGGGTTTTTAATTCAAGTTTCCTTTGGCAATTATCTCCACGGGACAAAATCTTGTTT